CCCAGAATTTAAAAAAAAAAAAAACCAATGACATATTTTATAGATCTTGAAAACATAGTTCCACGTTTCACATGGAATCAGAAAAGACTCTGAATAGCCAATGAAAGCCTATGAAATAAGAACAAATCTGGAGATAGAACTTTATCAGACTTCAGGCTATACTATAAAGGCTATAGTGATCAAAACAGCATGGCATTGTTATAAAAACAGAGACAGAGCTATGGAATAGAACAGAGAATCTAGAGATGAAACCATCATCATACTACCATCTGATCTTTGACAAAGCAAACAAAATCACATACTGGGGAAAAGAATCCCTACTCAATAAATGGTGCTGGGAGAACTGGAGAGCCAGATGTAAAATATTGGAAGAGGACCTACACCTTTCACTACTCACAAAAATTAACTCACAATGGAAAAAAGATTTAAGCACAGGTCATGAAACTATAAAAATCCTAGAAGAAAGTGGGAAAAACTCTTAAAGATATTGGCCTAGGGAGTTTGTTAAGAAGAAATCCTATGGCAAATGCAGCAAAAACAAAAATACATAAAGGGGACCTTATCAAGTTAAAAAGTTTCTGCACTGCCACGGACATAAACAACAAAACAAATAGACAACTTGAACCTACAGAATGGGAGAAGATAGTTGCATGCTACCAATCTATCAAGGGCTGATTACCAAAATCTACAAAGAACCCAAGCAAATTCACGTGAAAAGATCAAGTAAACCCATTAAAAATTCCATTCCAAGAGACCTGAACAGAAGTGTTTCTTACAAAGATAAACTAATGACCAACAAACACTTGAAAAAATACTCATTGTCCCTAATCATCTGTGAAATGCAAATCAAAACCACATTGAGATATCACTAACTCCAATAAGAATGGCTCACATCATAAAGTCCCAAAGCAACAGGTGCTGGTGTGGATGCAGAGAGGAAGGAACATTCATATGCTGCTGGTGGGACTGCAAACTAGTACAACCTCTGTGGAAAGGAGTATGGTGACTCCTCAAAGTACTAAAAGTGAACTTACCATTTGATACTGCAATCCCACTATTAGGTATTTACCCAAAGGGAAAAAAGACATTGTATTGTAAAGACACTTGCACTCAAATGTTTATAACAGCACAATTCACAATTGTGATGATGTAAAAACAACCCAAGTGCCCTTCAATACATCAATGGATTGATAAATGGTGGTGTGTGTATACCATGGAATATTATTCAACCATTTAAAAAGATGGAGATCTAGCATCTTTTATAACAACCTGAATGGAATCGGAAACCATTCTCCTAAGTGCAGTATCTCAAGAATGGAAAAACAAACATCACATGGACTATATGCTCATACAGAAGCAAAACGCAATGAAATTCAAGTCGGACGGTGGGGGGAGAAAGAGATGGGTACATTCTCACCCAACAAGTACATTGCATGGATACATTGCAACTTGCTGTATGAAGGACACACCTATAACTCTGACTTTAACCATGCAAAAGCAAACTGTGTAACTAAAATGTATGATACCTGATAATTAAGTTTGTGAACTCATCCCAGAAAAAGTACTACATACCTCATTGCCGAATATCACTACAGTCACCTTCAAAGTACTCCCCTTTGGCAACTACACACCAATGCCAGCACTCAGTCCACCCTTCAAAACAATTTTGGAATTCAATTTCTGGAATGACCAACAGAGCCATCATTGTACATCACACAAAAATACAGGACAATGAATGCCATTCAGCAAGACACTGCCACATGTTGACATGAACACAGCTGTGAGACCCTAATATGCACAGGTTATGAAACCTTACTGAGCTGTTTCAAAAGTGCTGCCAAAGTAAGCAAGTGGCAAGTTCACAAACTTAATTGTCAAGCCTCATATAATAGCTCTGATGGTCATTCCAGAAAAAGAGTTCCAAACTTGCTTTAAAGGGTGGACTAGGTGCTGGCATCAGTGCATAGCCTCCCATAGGGAAGCCTCAAAATATGAATATATTTTCATTCAGAAATTGTACCTCTAGAAATTCATCCATGTGTGTTTTCTTTAGCAATTGTTTGTTATAAAAAGGCCCAACAAACTAAATGTATGTGAAGATGATGCAATCATACAATTGACTAAAATTAAGCCTTTTTTAAGTGTTAGTGATAATTGCACATATATTTAAAACAGTAAGAATAGCTTAAAATACGAACGGATGTTCCAAAACATACATACCTCATGCCTGAATATTACTACAGTCACCTTTGGAGTGTTCCCCGTGGGAAGCTGTGGTCACCTTCTAAGGACTCCCCTGGGCCATCTGATGGCCATAGTGATATTCAGCAAGGAGGTATGTAGCACTTTTTCTAGGATGAGTTCTCAAACTTAATTATTAGACCTTTGTATGTACATCAGAATAATCTGGAGTGAAAAATAGAAAAAAGAAACCCCATGTGCCTAATTCTGGCATTTTGTTTCCAGGGTTAGCATTGTTTTTTCTGGGGCTTTTACTGTATTGAAAAATAGATGATTAGTTTGATAACTTAACTGCTCTGAAGATGTCCTCAGATGGCAACGTGTTAGCCCTTCTAAAGAATATGTATATATCATAACAAGTTCCTGTTGCCTTAACCTAGAAATGTGTGAATGTTTTCTTAGAAGTGACTCACAGACAAACATGAGCTCCCATTCCTACTTCACTATGAGCATTGCCCACTTTTGTCTATTTTACATTTCATTTCTGCATGTACCCTCCAAAAAATGAAAACTGATGCTTACTGTCTTTAGCCAATAGTCTATAAATGGGCTAATTAAAACCAAGTTAATGATCTTTAGAAAAGGTAATTTCTCAAGTTGTGACCTGCAAACAGTTCCACCTCATCTGCTTATCCACAGTCAGCTATGACTGCCCACTGGGAAAGGCAAATATTGTGACTCCGTGCTCTTCCTCTTCTCCGACACTCTCCTGCTGTCTCCCCAGCTACCTCCAACCCACCTCCAAGCTAGTCTCTCTGGACCCTCTTCCCTCAGTTGTAAAGTTTGTTCCCTAAGCTGCCAGCAAAGGACATTCATTAATCTGTTCCAAACAAGGATCCCCAGGGCAATTTGCATTTCTTCACTCAATTGATCCCCCAGTGCAGGGCAAAAGAGCAGATATACCCAGTGTCTCTCTAGGTAAAGTAAAATCTGGGGTGGGGGCCAGGGAGTTCATATGCTGCCTCTTGAGGTAATCAACTTATTTCTCCTAGAACAGAAACCCTACTCTGCTCCTCAAAGTCCTTTTTTTGCCTCCTTCTTATTGGCTCTACTTTTAAAAAGATGCAATGTCCAAAAGCTAAACTGGTAAGGGAGAAGAGTAGCAAAAGACTACTTCTTGCCAAGAGAAGCACTGGGAGTTAGTGTATTTCTGTGAAACGCAGTATAGAAATTTGTGGCAAAGAATATTTTTAAAATGCAATAAATTTTAAATTATTTTATAATTATAAGGCTTTACAATTTTGACTTACAAAAATATATTTAAGATTAAAATCCCACTAGGATCATGTGCACAGTCAAGTGAGGAAGTGTGGTTCCTGTTACAGCTTCATTAATTTTACTTCTCTGCAGTTGTGAAAATGATACAAATGTAAATATTCAATTACTCCCTGAAGCATCCAGGTTGGTAGCCAAGAGGGCAAGGGCATCCAGAACATTGGGTGACTTTTCTTGATCCTTGATTCCAACTGTGAACTGCAACCCATTACTGGGATATAAAATCAATTTAGTGGTTTACAACCAGTATTTTAAAAACCTTAAAATAGAAAATATCAGATTATATCAAATGTAGAAAGAAATGTTCTATAAAACTTTTAAGTAAAATATATATGGTTTGCTAAATATATATATATATATATATATATATATATAAACTCTGGAATGAATTGTGCTCAGAAATGCTTTAAAGCCTCTGCCTTATAAATATTTGTCAAAAAAAATCACTAGAAAAGTCTTGAATGTATCACTAAGGACACTCCAAGATAATGTGACTCTTAAACCACATGAGCTCGCAAGTAAGCAGAGACTTGAAATACCCATGAAGTGCTCAAATTTGGAATCATTCAGAAAACTCTGCATCATACTTTTATGTACTTTCCCCCGTAAAATTCCCCTGCCCACTCACAAAATGTTTTACACATGATTTCGTGGATTCACAGACATAGTAAATCTAATATAGGAATTAATGAATCCCTGGATAAAAGTTCCTACTTTGAATATTCAAGCTCCTAAAATCTCCTTGGAATGTTATAGAATTTCCCTATCCTTACAGGAAAGCAAAATTCTAGATCTCAAGATTCTGAATGTGTTTGAGGAAGTAAGTGCAGATTACTATTCTGATCTATCTGCTGACCTCTAGAAAGGTATGTAGAATGTTTCCAAGGATAGAATGATATAATCCTGATACACAAATCTTTGAAGTGTCCATTGGGAAGAAGTGAGGAGCTGACACTTTTGGCATCAAGGGAATTAAGGGAGTTGAACTAGAAGAAAAGTAAAAGATTGCAAGAATTGTATGGAAAAGAATTAAAAAAGCAGAAAGAGTAAGAGAAATAGCAATTTTGAGAAGACTTAGGCAGACACTGGAAATAAGGCAATGGGTGGAATCAATGGGAAGTAAGGAAAGTGAGTGCCAAGGGAAAGAAATTACTAACTATTCAGGAAGGAGGCAGCAGCTGGAGGCATTCCTTTATTACCTTACTTGGCAACTTTTTAAACAGCATCTGTGAGCCAGACACTTGCTTCATGCTGGTGCTGGGGAGACTGCCTGGAGAAACAATGAGAACTTTCCTACCAAGGGCAAACAGGACTGGGAAGGATCCAGCCATTCAAATGCACCAGAGGTCTGGATCATGTCGTCAGGGGAAAAGTTCATGGTCCATTTCATTTTGTCCTCAGGTTTCACCTATTTCAGAGCACCACTTCCCTTCTCATTTATGATTACCCTCTCTTTTACCTTGAGACTCAAAATTTTTTCAACAATGAAAAACAAAACCATGTTGACTGAGTTCATCCTTCTGGGTCTAACAAATGTCCCTGAACTCCAAGTGGCAGTTTTCATCTTTCTTTTCCTTGCCTATTTACTCAGCATCATTGGAAATCTGACTATCTTCATCCTCACCTTGCTGGATTCCCGTCTTCAGACCCCCATGTATTTCTTTCTCCGGAACTTCTCCTTCTTGGAAATTTCCTTCACAAACATCTTCATTCCCAGAGTCCTGATTAGCATCTCAACAGGGAACAAGAATATCAGCTTTGCTGGCTGCTTCACTCAGTATTTCTTTGCCATATTCCTTGGGGCAACAGAGTTTTACCTTCTAGCTGCCATGTCCTATGACCGCTATGTGGCCATCTGCAAACCCCTGCATTATGCAACCATCATGAGCAACAGGCTCTGTACCCAACTGGTTCTCTGCTGTTGGCTGGCCGGGTCAATGGCTATCATACCACCAATCATCCTGATGAGTCAGCAGGACTTTTGTGCATCCAACAGGCTGGATCACTATTTCTGTGACTATAAGCCTCTTCGGGAGCTCTCCTGTTCAGACACAAGCCTCATAGAGAGGGTTGTTTTCCTTGTGGCATTTTTGACCCTGGGGGCCACTCTCATGATAGTGATTCTCTCTTATACATTCATCATCAAGACTATTCTGAAGCTCCCCTCTGCCCAGCAAAGGACAAAAGCCTTTTCTACTTGTTCTTCCCACATGATTGTCATTTCCCTGTCTTATGGAAGCTGCTTCTTCCTTTATGTTATGCCTTCAGCAAAAGAAGGGGATACATTCAACAAGGCAGTAGCTCTACTTATTACTTCAGTTGCCCCTTTGTTGAACCCCTTCATTTATACCCTACGGAACCAACAGGTAAAACAAGCCTTCAAGGATATAGTCAAAAAGCTTATAAATCTTTAAAGAGTTTAATAATTAAAGCCTTAATAAATGACTCCCTACAAGCCAAGCTCTGTGCTCATCACTAGGTACTAGGAATTCAACAAACAGTTAATAGACAGAGTTTGAAATAAATTAATCACAACCTGTTAAATGTTAATATAAAAAATGAATAGGGTTTTATAAGTGAAAAAGCTGTTAAGTTATTCCATGGTTAGAAAGAGACAATAGATGTTTTCAGAAGGGATGTCATTTAAACTGGATCTTGGGGCCAGTCATGGTGGCTCACATCTGTAATCCCAGCACTCTGGAAGGCCAAGGCAGGTAGATTGCCTGAGCTCACAAGTTCAAGATCAGCCTGAGCAAGAGAGAGACCCAATCTCTAAAAATAACTGGGCATTGTGGCAGGTGCCTGTATTCCCAGATACTCAGGAGACTGAGGCAAGAGAATCACTTAAGCCCAAGAGTTTGAGGTTGATATGAGCTATGACCTATGACCCCACAACACTCTACTGAGGGTAACAAAGTGAGACTCTGTCTCAAAAAATAATAATAATAAACTGGGTCTTGGCAGGTAGGAATAAGACGAGCAAGCAAAAAGAGGGAAAGGGAAATTGGGGTAGAAAGAATATTGCAGGTAGGATCAAAAAATTTCAATCTAAGAAGACTGATTAAACATTATTAATTTCAATCAGAACCAAACAAGTCAGAAAAAAGCTGTGGAGTTGAAAATTTCAGCTTGACCCAAGTTAAATTCTCACTTAAAATAAGTTAAATGTCCATAATGTCAAGGCATCTGAATTTGGAACTATATCTATGGATTTATAATAACAATCCTTACCACACCGATGATAATTGACAATGTGGGAATAGATGAGATCACAAATAGAAGCATGTATAAAAGAAAACTAAATTTTAAATGTGAAGGACTCCCAAAATTTAAACAGCAGGAAGGAAAGGGGATAATAATAAAAGCAAAACATCCATGGAATTCATGAGACAAGGATGTCTCAAGAAACATAGGTTGTTGTCAGCGCAAAATGCTGCAGTCAGTGATTACTATTAATGTAATAATGAATAAGAAAAGTATGAGAATTGACAATTAGAGTGTCACAAGGTTGATAGCCATTTCAGCAAAGGTGGACTGTAGAGGTGAGATAGGAAAAATCAGACTGTAGTGAGTTACCAAAGGGTGGGAGCTAAAAAGCTAGAGAATGGTAAAATAGAATTTCAAGAGTAAGGAAAAGAAGAATGATCCCCAGGTTACATTCCCCCATGTTATCCTGTGTTTTCTCATTAATAGTATCATCATAATAATGGTTATATACATAAAGTCTGTATTTGCCTCTAGTCCACAAGGCCAAGGAGTGCAGAGGTAATATCTTCTTGGTCACAATTCCATCTGCAGTGCTAAGCCATTAATGGTAGGTGCTCCATAAATAGTTCTTAAATGGTGAATAGATGGATGGATGGTTGAATGGACAGATGTATGAGGAAGCCCAGGATATTTTTTCAAATAAAGAGCCTTGATCATTTGATGCTTATATCCGGAGAACAATGAATTAGCAAGGCATTCTACATGTGGACTTCTTAGATCTACCTGGAAATTCCACTCCCTTTTAAATCTGGAGAAACTAAAGCTCAGAGTTGAAATTGCTTGTGCCAGATCACACAAGTGGACTAGAATCAGAAGCCAAATACATCTAGTGCCAAGCCCACCTGCTTAACTATTAAGCCATACAGCCATTCTAACTAGCTTTAACATTTGCTGCCCATAGCATTTCTAAGTATTTTACACAGCTTTGGCTTTTAAACTCTCACTTTCCAAGCTCTCAACAATCTTTGTTAGAATCTTTTTTTTTTTTTTCCTTTTGATACAGAGCCTCAAGCTGTCCCCCTGGGTAGAGTGCCGTGGCATTACAGCTCATAGCAACCTCCAACTCCTGGGCTCCAGCGAGTCTCCTGCCTCCGCCTCCCAAGTAGCTGGGACCACAGGCGCCCGCCACAACGCCTGGCTATTTTTTGGTTGCAGCCGTCATTGTTGTTTGGCGGGCCCGGGCTGGGGATTCGAACCCGCCACCTTAGGTGTACGTGGCTGGCGCCTTAGCCAGTTGAGCTATAGGCGCCAAGCCTTGTTAGAAATCTTTAAGAAGTTGGAAACAAAAACCCATGCTATTCCACCCTATGGCTCTTGACTTCTCTCAAGATGCTTCTTTCCATATCCACATCTGTTATGACCAACGTGGATTTATTTCTTTTCTCCCCTTCAGAGCAAACATAAGACTCCAAAGAGCATGGGAGTGAAGAAAGTACTATTTTGCCCCCACACTCACCCGCTATAACTTCTCAATGAGGATTAGTTATGAACAAGGGGACTCATATCAGCTGCTAACTATATTTGCCTCCTCGCTATTCATCTTCTGTCTTAGCTACATATCAGCAGCTTTGGTTTCCAAGCTTAAGGGCAGGAATGATGGTCTCACTATAGTGCCATGCCCATAACAAGCACTCAGTAAATGTTCAGTTAAAAAGACAACATAGGGCGGCACCCATAGCTCAATGGGTAGGGCACCAGCCACGTACACCAAAGGTGGTCAGTTCAAACCCAGTCCAGGCCAGCTAAAACAACAACAATAGCAACAACAACAACAAAAAAAAAAAAAAATAGCTGGGCATTGTGGCAGGCACCCATAGTCCCAGCTACTTGGAAGGCTGAGGCAAGAGAATCACTTAAGCCCAAGAGTTTGAGGTTGTTATAACTGTGATACCACAGCACTCTACCCAGGGAGATAGCTTGAGACTCTGTCTCAAAAGAAAGAAAGAAAAGAAAAAGAAAAATAAATAAGTGAAAATGCCTTTATTATTTTTAAGGCTCAGCAATTTTCATAAGATTTTCTACCATCTATTTGTTCTTTAAGGGGTCAATCTCTTTCTCTTCTAAACACTTTACAGCATATTTTATTACATGATCTGTTATATTTTTTTTAGTCTCAAATTTGTTTATGTCTAATCTGACATTTATTATTTCTTTCCTTCTACTAATTTGGGGTTTGGTTTGTTCTTGCTTTTCTTGTTCTTTAAGATGAATCATTAGGTTCTTTATTTGTAATCTTTCTAATTTTTTGATGGAGGTATTTGTTGTTATAAACTTGCCTTTTAATACTGCTTTTGCTGTGTCCCATAGGTTTTGGTATGTTGTATTTCTATTTTCATTTGTTTCAAGGAATTTTTAATTCATTTTTAATTTCTTCTTTCCACTGGTCATTCAAAAGTATGTTCTTTAAATTCTATGTACTTGTATAGTTTCAAATGTTCCTCTTATTATTGGTTTCTAGTTTTACTCCATTGTGGTAAGATACTTGATATGATTTTGATTTATTTTTAATTTTTGAGATTCATTTTGTGTCATACCACATGACAAATCCTTAATAATATTCCATGCGCTGATGAAAATAATGTGTATTCTGCAGCTATTGAGTGAAGTGTTCTGTAAAAGTCTGTTAGATCCATCTGGTAAATGATTCAATTTAACCTGGCATTGTGGCAGGTGCCTGTAGTCCCAGCTACTTGGGAGGCTGAAGCAAGAGAATCACTTGGCCCAAGAGTTTGAGGTTGCTATGAGCTATGACACCATGGCACTCTACCAAGGGCAACAAAATGAGAATCCTTCTCAAAATAAATAAATAAATAAATAATAAATCCAATGTTTCATTGTCAATTGTCTGCCTAGAGGATTCATCCAATGCTGAGAGTGGAAGGTTGAAGTCCCCAGATTTATTGTATTGGGGTCTTTTAATCAAACAATATTTGCTTTATACACCTGGGTGCTCCATTGTTGGGTGCATATATTTAAATTGTTATATTCTTTTGCTTAATCGATCCCTTTATCATTATATGAGTTTGGGGGAAGGGGTTGGGTTTTTTGTTTTTATTGTTGGGGATTCATTGAGGGTACACAGAACCAGGTTATACTGATTGCTTTTGTTAGATAATGACCCTCTTATATTTGTGTCCCACCCCCAAAAGGTGTACCACATCCCTTGACCCCACCCTCTCCCTTTCCCTTTCTCAGCTCTCCCTATCCCCCACTCCCCACCATGTACTAGGACTTTAATTGTCATCATATCAGAATTGAGTACATAGGATTCTTATTTCTCCATTCTTGTGATGGTTTACTAAGAATAATGTGTTCCACTTCCATCCAGGTTAATACAAAGGATGTAAAGTCTCCATCTTTTTTAGTGGCAGAATAGTATTCCATGGTATACATATACCATAGCTTGTTAATCTATTCTTGGGTTGGTGGGCATTTAGGCTGTTTCCACATTTTGGCGATTGTAAATTGAGCTGAAAAAAAAAAAACAGTCCAGTGCAAGTGCCCTTGTGGTAAAAGGATTTTTTTTTCTTCTGGGCAGATGCCCACTAATGGGATTGCAGGATCAAATGGGGGGTCTAGCTTGAGTTCTTTGAGGATTCTCCACACTGCCTTCCAAAAAGGTTGTATTAGTTTGCAGTCCCACCAGTGGTGTAAAAGTATTTCCTTCTCTCCACATCCATGCCAGAATCTGCAGTTTTGAGATTTTGTGATGAGGGCCATTCTCACTGGGGTTACATGATATCTCAGGGTGGTTTTGATTTGCCTTTGTCTAATAATTAGGGACAATGAGTATTTTTTCCCTAAAAATGTTGTTGAAAGCTCCTAATTATATTTCTTATTTCATTCATTGAATTCTTCACCTCTAGGGTTTCTCTTTGGTACTTTTTTATAATATTTATCTCTTTGTTGAATTTCTCATTCAAATGATGAATTGTTTTCCTGATTTTTTAATTGTCTATCTATATTCTCTAATATCACTGACTTTCCTTATTATTTTTAATTGTTTCTTGGCACTTTGTCCATTTTCTTATGCTTGGGTTCTGCTACTGGAGAAACATTGTGTTCCTGTGGAGGTGTCCTGTTCCCTTGCTCTTTAATATTTGATGAGTCTCTACACTGATTTATACATATGTGGTAGAACAGTCAC